AGATGTTCCTGCAGATTGCTGCTGTTTAGGGTCAGCCTGCTTCATGTTTCCTGGGTTCGTTCTCATTTGATGGTTGCTTTACTTGCAATTGTTCATGATGGTACAATGGCCGTGTTAGTTCTTGACACCCGCGCAAAGTGCTACTGGTTGACAGTCGACGGGGAAGCAGTCAGTTGCCAACTCGTTCAATACCATTTGGTTCCAACCAATGAGCAGTCTAGATTTGGTGTCCACTTGGGTATGAAACAACAATTATGACTTTCGCAGGGATTGATGTCCACGTCCACCAACCATTTTGAGGGTGTTCCCCAGGAAAACGCGGAAGCAACACTTCAACAGCCACATATAGGTATATTGTGTTGAACAGGAAAAATGAACAACAGGCACATACAGATTGCTCCCCAAAGCCATCGCCATTCAAGTTTCAAACAACAGCTAGAAGGGGAATCAACAAGCGATATTTCAAGTTATAACCAGCTCATAGAAGAAACTTTGCGTTTCAGCTTGTTCTTTTGCGGGGGCTCAAGAAACTCGCAAGGAGCACTGGTTGCCGGAAGCTGCGGCGGGTTCGGAAATGGATTCACAAGCTCCACAATCATGCGGTGGAGAGGCGCAGGAAGCGTGAGGAGCTGAATAAGCTCTTTGAGACCATGACACTGGGCTCCATTCAGCCCAGTTGGCCTTTTTTAAATCTTCGTTTCGAGGGGTTCCCTTTTAAACTCAACAAACCAATACATGATGCCTAGTTTTGTTTCCATGGCTTTTTGCGACCGTGAAAGAGAGACCACCCCAACAGCCCCGTGGACCTCGTTCTTTGAGGCCTTTGGGGGTCAAAGGTTTTGGTGGTTCGGGTTTTCCCGAAAGAAGTGGAACACTTGTACAATAATGTTGACCCCATATTAAACAACCCCTGTTTATTAACAAGCCCATATTGATCAACTCCTGCTTATCAATGGGCCCATGTTAATCAACCCCTGCTCATTGATAGGCCCGTATTAATCAACCCCTGTACTAACAGGGAGGTGTCCCCGGGTTTTTAGCGGGGAATCATCGTGTGTGGAGGGGTACACCCCCCTATTAATCAAAAGGACGTTTAGTTAGACAACTTCCGTAATACGAAAAGGGGTTAACGGCAGCAAGTCTTTCAGGGATCCACTGGAGGGTCATCAAACCGGGGCCTCAGCCTTTCAGGAAGAAGCACGCGTTTCGGAGACTCGGCTGCAGTTCGAAAGTAGAAGCGTCCTTTGATGGGTTCCGCTTGTTGAATACAAGGTAGGCTTAAACCCAGGGTGGTTGTCCACACTCGCAAGGCAAACTTTAGTTTAAGCCTATCTTGGGGAAGTCAAACATGGATCATCGAACTGCATGGCTCGTAGATCGGCCGAAGTTTAGCGACCGCCCAACGGGGGCTGGTGACGTTACGCATGAGGAAGGAACAGTTGATTTGGAGTTGAATGGCAATCCTCTTTAGATATTGACCTTATTCGGGTGGTTTAAACATTGGGGTGAGGTGATGCTTGACTATAGGGAATCCCGATCAAAGTGGATCTCCTGCATATTCGTTGTTTCCGAGGAAACGAGGTTGTTTTGTCGGTGGAAGCGAAAGAGTTTGTGTCCATGAGTTTACGGCTCAAACCTTTGTTTCCCTCAGAAACTCTTTGTTTACCGTAGCGTCGTCTTGGAACGGCTTGAATGAGGGTTGTTCAAGTTCTGCGGGCGCGTCCCTGCAGTCAATGGACGGGGCTCTAGGGGGAACCTTTCTTGCCCACTGCTCTGCTTTGCAGCTGGTAGTTCCCTGGCAGCAAATCATGCTGTGTTGCGGCTCCAAGCTACTTCCCCCACACAAAAAAACTTGCTGGCTCCCGAAGGCCATCCGGTTCCTTAGCCCTCCAGCTTTTTAGGGTTTGGTGGGGATTTCCATGTAACCCTTTTCGCAGGGGATCTGAGGGCAGCCCCGTTGGGAGGGACATGGGGCACTCACGCTATTTCCCGCAAAAGAAATAGGGGCCTCACCAAAAAAGCATCCCCACGTAGGGGAAACATGGGGAATGATTTTGACCGAGGCTATACCAAAAGTTCGGGTTTCGGTGCATACCTTGAAGGGCACGCCCTGGATACATTCCCGATTCCCATGTGAGCCATGAGAGCCAAGCATCTTTGGCGTTGCTGGGATGGTCATGTACCCCGTGTAGCAGTGATAGACAACCATTTTTTAAGCTTTGAGGGGCCATTATGCAGGTCTCCCTAGATTTCCTGTTTGGTGGTGTTAAACATCACCGTTTTGGCCCGTGAAAGGTGAGTGTCCCTTGGTGGCGGGTAATGTTTTTTAAGGAGCTCTGCTTCCATGGATTTCCCAGGATCCAAGAGGAGGAGGCACAGGGAGAACTGGCCCTGAATGCCACGCGAAAGCTGGCGAAAGACGGCAAGAAGGAAAGGCGGAAGAGTCAAGAGGAGCATCTTAGCAGAAGCTTTCCCTGTGCGCGAAAGTACGGGCTGACATTTGTTCCCCTTAAAGGGGGACATGGCCGGCGCGCTGAGTGGTCAAAGGGGGACAGTTGTTCCCCCTTAGAAGGGTGGTTTTGAAGGTTTGTTGGGCCCCGATTGAGTTTCCTTGTGGTGGGGAATGTTCAAATGGAAGTAATTATAGGGAGCCTTGTTGCGTGTGCGTGCGACTGTTCGTTCAGGGTGTGTTGAACTTGTGTGTTGTGATGTGGCTAGTGAGGTTTGCAATGTGAGAATACGGTCATTTCGATATCCGGAACCACTGCAGTTGGGTGACATTGATGGCACACATTGCCAGGGTTTGGTTCATGATACCCCGTATCACGCAAATGTAAGTTCTTGCTGATTCTCAGCGGAAAAATGAGGGAAGGACCCCTACAAACCATCCCCTATGGTTTCGTTTAAGGGAATCCCAAAGCGGTTCATTCCCAACACCCTGGGTCATTCCCTACCTATGGCACCAGCAAGAAAGGACTGCTGCCACGAATTGAACCAGTCGGGACAGACGTGGAGCTCAAGTTCCTTGGAATTTTCGCTGGAAGTCGGCAGCTTTCTAGCTTTCCTTGCTGGTGCGATTGGTCAGGAATGACTTAACGAGTCCGGGTGTTGGGAGTGAACCGACTTGGGATTCCCAACAAGCAAAACATATACCTAGGGATTCCCTTCAAGCAACACATAGGGGTTGCTTCCTGGGGGTCATCATCTCCTGCTGAAGAACCGGCAAGCGTCCAACTCTAGATCCGTTTCCTTGGGTTCGGGACGCACTGAAACTGGGCCATCCCAAGAGGGAGAACTCCGGGCGCTCCTTTTTCCGACTTGGGGGTGAAAAAACGCTTGGCCCCCGCAAATGCATGGAGTGACTCAAGCAACCCTGGAAGAAAACGCTACAGGGAACCCTGAAAGAAGGCCGGTTGAACAGGAAATGGTTTTGCAGCTGGCACAATCCTCAGTGGTTGGACTCCCCTTCAGCTGAAGTCGGATGCCTCTAGTAATTAAGTGTTCAACGCAGGGGAGGGCAGTTTGGCAAGCCTGTGAGTTTGGCCACATCTCCAATTTGATTGCAGACGGAACCGACCTATCACTTTCGATGGAGGGGTTTTCTTTGAGAAGACAGGGTTTCTCAGGCTTCGCTTCTCAGCTGCACCAGCAAATTGCTCGATGTTGGCATGCCAAGGCTTCTTTGGGATGGACGTTTTTTTTCCCAGGCTTCACTAATCCAAGAGAAACTTGGGCTTGTCTCAAAATAGCAGACCCCTCAAACTGGCGGGATTCCTTTTAGCTTCCCTCTGAAAACAAACCCAAAAGGGGGGGCTATTTCGAGACACACCCACATAGGGCTTCCAAAATACATTGCCTTAGATAGTTCGCTTCAGCAGGTCTTTGATGTAAAGCTGGAATACCCAAAATATGACATCCTAAGAGGGACGTTTCTTGGGAGTGTTTGAAGCGAAGACGAAAGGACGCTTACCATTTCATTTTCCAGAGCCACGAAACTCTCGCTTGCAGGTATCAACACACTTTGCGCACCCTGAACCGTGTGAACCGGTTGGTCAAGGACGCCGAATGTCGGCAGGGTCGCGGGAGTGAGGGGGAGTTCAAGGACAAAGCGTGAAACAAGGGAACAAGACTCGGGCCCCCATGCGTGGTGATTGATTCACATGCAACCGATTGTGTTTGGATGACTTGGCATGCCACTGCAGGATGCCTTGACTGGTCATTGAAGATTGTGTGCAAATTCCACACATGTTTGCATGTTGAGCTACTTTTCGCCCTATCTTTTAAGCAAATCGCTCCAGATTATGCCAATCGCACGCGCGCGTGCTCGTACGTAGAGACACACAAACAGAAAGACATACCTGGCCACATAGCACCTGCCTCAATCATGTGGGGGGTTGTCAAGAAATGGTATCAGGACCTAGTTTGGGCAGCGCTGTTTGTGACTCCTCTCGAGGAGTTGGTCAAACAAATTCAGAACGGATTGGATGGATAGGGTGCATGGGAGTTCTCCAAGCAGAAACCTTATCACTGCAAACTCCTAGTGGCCGTCAGTATTTTGGACCTCTTGCAGAAAAAGGGCACAAGAGCACGTCGCCATGTGTAGGGATGCCCCTGGCATGAGACGCACGCGAAAAACGAAGCTGTTTGGTTTCGAAGCTAGCTCTCTAGGATCAAACATGAAGCAGATGGACTCGTTGGAATGGACCTTCTTTACGACGGGGGGGGGGGGGTTAAACAAGTATTTCTAGGGGTACCTTCCCCATTCTTTCTAGGGATCCTTCTTTCTAGAAAGCCTCCGGAAACCCAGGGAAAATAGCTGGTTTTTGAAAAGAACGATGGTTGGACAGAATGGGAAATCAACCCCTAGAGTAATCTTTTTTCTTGGGAATCCCTAATTCAGCTTGCCACAACCCCTGAAGCCCAGGAGCAGATGAAAGATCTGCCGAGCGAGCGGGTTTGGGAAAACATCACCCACACCAAGCATACGAGGTCCATCACAAATGGCGGCTTGGCTTTCTCGAGCATGTGCCACGAGCCGGCATGTGGTCATAAATGTGTCCGGGTCAATAACTAAATCAGAAGGGGGCCGCAGGTTTTAGTCTTTGTTTCCTTTTACCAGGGTTCCATTTTGGGTACCGAGTTTGACCCAAACCCAAATTGTGGCTGCGCTTTTTGGTATCCCCTGTAAAAGGCGGCCGGGTTGAAATTTGCTCCCAACCCCCTTGCTTTGATGCGTAAGTGAAAGCGAAGACCTTGGGCAGGTTGAAGGGAAGTCCACCAACCAATGCAAGGTAAGGGGAACAAAGAAACTCAAGGAGATGTTCGCGAATCAACATGGAAGGAACGCGGAGGTCGGAGGTTTTCAGAAGGGGATTCTGAATCCCGGATTCTATCCAATGGTGTGTTAGTGGGCAGTGGGTTGCCACTGAAGAAGGACATTTATCCGGCCATTGAATTTAAGTGATAAAGGCCCTGGCGATTTTGCCACACACCCCGCTCTTGTTTTCTTCCCAATTGCGGGCGATTTCGCTTCGGGCCAATCATTTTGATCAACTGATCTACATACAAGTCTGGGTAGATTGTTATTTACACCGTGTTGGGTTATAGAGCCCGTCAGCGCGCAGGTTTTGTTTGTCACTCAATGAAGGTCTGTACGCCAGCACTTGGCCAACCTTTGCCGAACTGCAGCCCAGATTGTCCGCTTGCCTAGGCAGCAATGTCTCCTCAAGTGCATCTGGCTCTTCCATTGGCAATGGCACGATCTGGGAAGATTGGGAAACGGACGACGTGGATGAGCCCCTGGTCGCAAATTGCTCATGAGCAAATACAGTAAAAAAAAAAAAAAAGGAAATGTTCAAGCCCCCCCGCCCTCCCCAGTATTCCCTCCCACAGCTTTTGCCAACTCTTGCATTCTGTAATCACCACAGCGTGCCTCTTTTGCTGAAGGCGTGGAAGGAAACCCGTGATCCCTGCATGCCCTCTTCATGATGTTTCTGGCACTGCGTTCGAAAGCAGTTTACTGTTTGCGTGTAAGTATATTTATAGCAGGACCGGTTGATTTGGGGAGATTGTAGTGTTGTCCCTTTTTTTTTCTGAACAGTTAAAGACGGTGCAACCAACGACCAGAGTGTGAGTTAGTCCGTCAGACTTCGCAAGCTCTTGAAAGTTCAAAGGCAGCCCTGCATGATTGAAACCTTCGGGATTTTTCAATTTATGTCCAGTGGTTCGATGGACAAAATCTTGGGTCGATCGGCACCAGATCCACACTCAAAGCCCAGATGAAGGTTAGGAAGGGACAGTCCCAACCAAAAATTGGCGCCTTCGCCAACTTAACTCTTCACATGGTTCTGGGTCCCAACCATATGAAGGCATCCATCCCGGCTGCCTGCAGTTCTTTTTATCAGGCCCCAGGTCCAAGAATATGGCTGAAGCCCAGTTGCAGTCGACTCCCAGACTCTCTGTTCTATTTTAGGGTACATGAATAAAGCAGAATCAACTGATATGATTTGTTTTGATGCGACCACGGCTAAACAAAAAGTAGCCAGAAGGAACCATCCGTAGTAAGACCTAGAGGCAAGCCAAGCCTGGTTGCTATAGTCAGACCCTAAACAGGTTCTGATAAACAGGTTTCAGCTTGCAGCAGACTGTGCAGAATCCTAGACCCGGCGGAGGGTACGGTTAAGCGTTCGGAATCCAAACCGGAACCACCCATTTAGGGCCGAATCCAGGCTCCAAAGGGCCAGTGGGGAAGCAAGAGGTGACCAGGGTTGGAGTGCACCGTGCAGTCTCACATGCGGCTGTTCGGGAAAGTGAGCATGAGGGTTCTCATAGAATTGCAATGTGAAGGTTTCCCGAAAGCCATCAAATCTTGGGTCGTTTTGAGGTGACTAAATGGACCCGGGGTTAGCTGTATGGCAATTCGGTATCGCGAGCTCAGGGAATTCGATCTGCGTCAGGCGTTGGTCTTCTTTTTTTCGGCTGCGGGTCAAAATTAGGTACCCAAAATGGAACCCTTGTACATGGAAACACGGACTAAAACCGGTGGTGCCCTGGTGGTTTAATTTTGACCCATACCCATTTATGTAGAAACCTTATTGCGGGAAGTTGGCCAGAGAATCTCCATGGATTCTTCCTTTTCAGTCATCACATCGTTGTCTTGTATCGATCAAACTGGAGTCCTCTCCAACATCTGTTGTATATTCCATAAGGGTAGGCAAAATATGAAACATGTCGAACTCGGTGTTTGTTTCCCTGCCCCATATTTTGTGCGAGAAAAAGAGACGCCTCCTTGCCCAAAGGCAACGACTCGAATCCAGGAGTCGAAATGCCCGGCTTGCTTTCACTGAGGTCAGATGATGAGGACCGGATTGGAACACAACATGTTTGTTTCACTTTAGCAGGGAGCAAATGCATTCCCGGCGATTCCATGGAAGCTCCCCGGACCCTTTGCGAGAGCTTTCTTCGAAGGGCTAGCTGCCATGTTAGCAGGAAAGGTTCGCGGTTGGTGAAAATACTCCCACCCCCCATATGCTGTCCACCAAAAGGCCCTCTCTTCAACATCAGACCACAAGGCAGACCGAATCTGGTTGTGAAACAGAGCTTTTGTCTACCTGGGGTCTCCTTCTCGACCCTTAAGCAATGGTTACATAACTCCTTTGTTTTGGGAGCCCACGAGTTTTCAGGGTCAGAAGGAGACTCCAGGTAGCTTGCCTTGCTCACTAGGAATTCAAGCTTTGGCTCAGGGTCTTTGGCCCTTCGGGCTTCGGGCAAAGGGTTGCGGGGTTTTGGCGGCCTAATGGGAGGTTTAGGTTTGTAACGATCGGACATTTTTGCAGCGAGGTTTTATGGCATTGGGTCTAAGGGTGTTGGTTTTCCACGTGCCTGTAAGCAGCATTCGCGCATCCCGCGTTGATTGGAGCAAGGGGACGCCCACGAAAAGCGTTGCAAATTACGGCCGCCCAAGCGAGTGCCACCCGGCGTTCTTTTTTTCATGTCTGATGTCGCACAGATTTACACCCAATGGATGTGAGAAGGCGTTACTCAGATGTAGGTGGCTGTGCTTATTCACTTCCATTTGGATAAGAATATGTTGTTTTCCTCGGTTGGTATTAAAGGGAATCCATTACTACTGGCAAATGTTTGACATATCTATATATATATATATGTATTTGTGAGGGGGACTTAAACAAATGGAGGTGAACGGCGTTGTTCCACGCATGGCTTTGGGGAAGTGGCAGTTTTGTTTGCAAAACTCCTGTAGTATAGGGTTTTAGGGTTGGTATCACAGCAAGGGGCCCATGTGTTCCATTGCGTTTCCATGAAACGAGTGCTTGGCACTCACTTCAAGATGCCTTCCATAGATCCGAGGCTAAGAAGAGCACGAGGGCTTGTTCAAGGCTTCAGGTTTACCGATTTACCAAATGGGTGTGGCTCAAAATTAAACACGAGGGGTTACGCAGGTTTTGGCCTTTGTTTCCACTTACCAGGGTTCCATTTTGGCACCACTTTTTTGAGCCACAGCCAAATGGTTCAGGCTGGCAACCTAGCTCACTGCCAGCGGGTTTGAGGGTACGGTTTCTTGAGCCCCAGGGAGAGACATAGTGGGCTTAGAAGTACTTCTCGCTGGTTTTTCAGATGCTGACCAGGCTTGCGGCTCCGGTGCTGTCAAGGAGTTGAAGTTAAACTGAAGAAACTCAGCACCGTGACGACTTGGAGAGCCACAATAGCCCCTTCTCCCTCATAGCCCCTTCTCCCTCACTATAAATATTCCCTAAGCATAGGCTACATCTATTTCCGAATGAAAGACATGGACTCACGGTTCACTCCAGGAGGCCGAGCCAAACGAAGGTGTGGAGAATGTATCCCACACCACGAGGTCGAACGGTGGCTCCATGGCCCAAGAGCTGTGCTTGCCAGGTGTCCTTTTTGCTTGTTTTGGTCGAGAAGACGACGATTCCTGGACTAGCTGGTGGTTGAATCATCTAGGGCCATCTATTGGCCCTAAAAGCTAAAAAGACACCTACGGCTTGCCCTAAGGGGGGCTTAAGGGCAAAATGCAGAAAGTGAACTCTGGGTTTTAACTCATGCACTAGTGGCATGCTCTATGAGTGTGCCCAGTGTACCAAGCTTTTTTGCATTAGGTAAGTTGCTTCGGGGTGGGCGAAGCAACCCGAGTCATTAGCACAACGAGAACGCGAACAGCCGGGTCAAAACGTGCCGCTCAAAGCACTCACAATTCCAAGTGCATTTCCAGCCTGGATGTGGGCAGCTGTGATGTTTGGTTCTTCACCCATGTTTCCTTGGCTGGTGAATGGCGTGACCTTTAGACCTTTGGCCTCCAAGCGAAATGAAAAAACCACCAAAACTGAACAAACATATCTTAAATTGAGTTTGGACCCGTTTTAGAAGCAAATGGCACCTACCACTAAACCTACAAAAGCTTAGACCAATGTTTTGACCTTTGCCTCTGGCGGGCTTGGAGCAAGGCCCGTTTGGGTTGCCGAGCGTTTCTTCTTCGGCATCATCTGGCCGAATAATTTTCGCGGTCTCGTGTGTGCGTTGGCCAAAGCCGCCTCGGCTTTGCACAAGGTCGGAATTATTTGCCCCTGTTCGAAAAAGCATGGAGCCCATACCTGGAGTCTCCTTCTGACCCTAGAATCCCTGCGGCCATAGCCATAGCCTCTTTAAAAAAAAAAAAACACGATTCTTTGAGGGTCGGAAGGAGACTCCAAGTACTTCACCCATCACTTTTTTACCTTTGCTCGATTTTTGTTTTCCGCTGCTCTTCCCGGATCGGCGCGGCTGAGGCAGCATCTCCAGCTCGACTGGCAATGGGACCATCGAGGATTTCGAGTGCCTGGGCAAGCTGCTTGCTTGTTGCACCTCTTGGTTTCCCTTTTAAACCAACCACCCCCCCCCCCCAAAGCAGGGCAGTCAAAAATGATAGATGTGTTTAGGCGGACTCTTTGTACCAAATTGGCAAACATCTGGGGGTTGATCAATATTCCCTAAACTGCCCCCAGTTTTGACCATACTCCTTGGTTTCTTCGCCACCGCGTAAACTGCCTGTACTCCAGAGGCGGCCTGGCCATTGGAAACCCGAGTTGGACGACTGCTCAATTCAATCCAGGGATCGCAGAGTTCGGAGAAGTTTCTTTTCCTGGGTAGCCAAGCCTGACCGCAATTGCAGAACCAAGGCGCTATTTCTTAATGCTTATCCACTCGCCTGGACTTGGATGGAACCCGATCAGAAGGAAACAACCGGAAAACTATCTCATTCCAGCTCCAGCTCGGCCCTGAACCAGGGCCACGTAAAGGGCTGGAAGTTTCTTTTTCAGCGGCCCTTTGCTTTGGGTTCACTACGTAATTCGAAGTCGCCCAGAGTCCCTGCAATCCCTTGATTGCAAGTCATCACTTTTTCGTTCTTATGCCAAGCGGGTGACTCGAATCGAGTTTAAACCTCCTGTCTTTCCCAGGTCAGACGACGAGGACAGGGTTGGGCCAATTTCATGTTTCGGCATGCACTTAGCGGAACCAACATATTACCTTGTGTGTCTTTGTTCAATTGTTTGCTTGTTTGTTTATTTATATATTTGTTATGCAGTGTTTCATTTATTGAATTGCTTGGTTACTCGTTTGTGTGTTTCATTTATGTATGAGTTTATGTGTTTATTGTGTTTGTTTTGTGTATATACGAATTTAATTAGCTATTCATGTATTGTTGAGTTCTGATTTAGTCTATGTGTTGTTTATAATTTGTTTATGTTATTATTAGCACACACACACACACATGTCACATGGTCACATGTTTACGTGTTTGTTTCTTGTTTGCCAAATTTATTTGTTTGCTTATTTGCTTGGTTGCTTGGTTGTCTTTGTTTATATTTGTTTTAATGTATATGTTTAATTGATTCTTTAGTTATTTAGTTATCATTCTTGATTTATGTGTATTGCGATGGATTTTTGCAATTTGTAAGATTCATTGTCATTATTGACAGCATCTATTTGACACGTTGTGTTGATCCTTGGAATAATGCAACATATGTATGCTTAACCATGTGTAGTTCCCAGACATCCAGAAACGCCTTATTTCAGGTATGTCAGGTGTGAATTCATTGCAGTTTAGAGGGATCTTCTTTTGGGAAAGCCCTGTTTAGGTCCCATGTGAGTTTTTGCAGGGGAGTAAGTTTCTTTCCGGACTTCCTGGGAATACAATTTGGGTGTAAACAAACAGTTTGGCCTTGTTTTGGTCAATCCACTCAGACAGTACAGCGCTTTGCCGCAGTTTTCGACCCACCCAAGAATCCCCCTTGCAGTGATACCTGCGGGTCATGCCCAAGGCTACTTCATCACTTTGACCGGGATTCCTTTGGTATCACAGAAGGGAGCAACAACTCGCTATCTTTCACAGCCATAGCTTCCAAAAGTACTGGACTCCAATGACTACGACCGTAGTCTGCATTTGTTTCAGGGCGGATCTAAGGGTTTTTGTATTACACCCTGGGAATACACCCACTTAGTAGTGACCTCATTTAGGCACATGTTCGGATAAAACCGTGTTATTTTGCACCGTTCGGGGTCATTCCTCAAGGGTGTAATCCCAGGGTGTACTACAAAAACCCTCAGAGCGGGAGTTTCACCAAGACGCCCGAGGAGGACGAGGAGGACTTGGCGCTGCTGGAGGAGCCCTGCAAGGAGGGGCCACCAGCAGCGTATCAGAAGGACCTGCCGCACAAAGTGCGGTGCTTCGGAAGCCAGATGAGCAGCTTTGTTTTCTCAGATGATGGATTGTAGCTTCGTGGGGAGCTCCCAAAAGGTGTACAAGCCCTGAACCTCTAAAAACAGCAATGCACAGATGAACTACAATCAAAACCGATTCGGAGAGATGAAGGCTAGCAAGAGATAATCCTTGTTTTTTCAAAGGGGGCGGCTTCCCGGCTCGACAATATTATCTTCTGGGTAGACCAGTTTAACACCGATCGGTTTTATTATGAGATGGGTGTTCCAGCGGGTTAGCGAGCCGGTATGGAGCTGGGGTTTTGAGCTAGCAGGCTTGGTCAAACTCAAGTCTGGTTACATGAAAGTAGATGGCCCTATATTAGGCGCGCATGGTTTTTCATCATTGACAGACCGACATGGGAAGTTCGGCATCTTCTTTCATTCTGGCTTACTGTACAAGATCCATGGAAGTGGAGCTTTGGGGCCGTTCCAAGAGGATGGGTTTCGTCTTCCATCGCCCGCCGACCGTCCACTTCCATGGATTTTGGACAGAGTCTTGCCGTGCTGGTAAACCCAGAGGCTGATTGCTTTTATCGGAGGGGAAGGCTTTTGCTAGGGGTGGGAAGTGGATCTTCCAAGATTTCCCCCCCCCCCCTCGTTGCCGTGGGCTCTATGTTAGTTGGTGGGATGGCAAGAGTCATCTTGGAGCCTTTGAATCTCTGGCACGTTGAAACTGACAAAGCTAAAGGAAAACTCACGTTGACCTTTATGCTGCACCGGAAGCATTTTGGGCCCTCAAAAAGGCCCCAATGGAGGTCCGACACCTTCCAATGGAGGTCCCAGCCCCTTCAACGGAGGGTGATTCCTGATGCTTAGGGCAGGGGTTTTGACCAAATTTGGGCGCTCAGTCAGTTGGGTTTGGACGTGTGTTTTCAGGGGGGTTTTGGCCCCGCTGGGTCTGGAGGTGTTTTATTTGATTCAAATAAGCATGTCCCTTTGAATTGATGATAATCTATATTCATATATGCCTATGTTTCAACATATACCTTGTATTCTTACAATTGGTACACACAACATGTAATTATTCATTCACTTGGCCGGAGTCGGCTCGCGCCAAGGCGTCCCTGCGTGAAGCTCAACTTCTCCAAGGCGTTGGGAGTGGTAGACCCTGCGCCAGTGCCATGGCATAGCTGGCTTCGGGGCTGACCCAAAACTCTTCTATATCTGTGGGTAGACGAGACTTGGCAGTGGGTCACAACCAATGGTATTATTTTGGGGTAAGTGCACCACCCATTTTAGTCTAATTATTTTAGTGGGATTGGCATCTTTACTGGGGGTACGGGACATTGACCCATGGCCATATGGAACAGAATCAGAACAATGTTTTTATACCCCGGTTGTGCGCCAAGTTGCCCAAGAGTCATTAATTAGCTTCCCTTTTGGCTTTCTCTTCAAAAGAACTCCAAACGGGTATGGAAGGGAGGGAACCATAACTCGCTTGATTTGTCCTTGGAACCCTGATTTGCAGTTGTTGTCCACAGCTACCTTGGCGGTTCGCAGGCAACCGGCTCCTTGTGTTTTAGGTTTTTGGGGTTCAGCGGGGGTGTCCATTTAACCCGCTACAAGGTTAAACTTTTAGCAGGGGATCTGAAAACGGACAGCCCACTGACAGCTACAAGTCCTATGTGTCAAGCTCCAATTTCAGTGACTGGAAGTGATTCGTGTGGACGCTTCCGGAATTGCTGTGCCGCTCTATTCGATGAGCTCTACCGGTCTCCAGGAAGGGCTCCATTTGTATATGGCTCGATGGGCGAATCTGGGCACGACCCCAACCATCCATGGTGGGTTCCTGTTGGGCGATCCCGAAACGGCCAAAAAGCCAAGCCAACACCCGAAAGTTGATTTTCTACTGTACAGCAAGATTCGACTAGGTCAAATGTTAGGAACTGGTGACTCGGGAGTTCAGCCTTGTTTGGAATGGCCTAGGTGAGATTACCCTTTCACCGGAAACTTCTCCGCTCAGGCCAAGTTTCCTGTCTGGAACCTCGCTTCGGAGCCCTTTCTTTTTGAACACACACACCCAGTCCCAGATGGTTTCGACAATGACAACGTGACTCACTGTTCCAACATGTGCAACCACTATCTAGCCAAAACACCCCGACACTCGCAAAGGGTTTGCAACTTGTGAGCTCAGCTTTCTCATGCGCTCTGCACACGGGTGCGTCTTGTTTGGAGACACTGGTGTTGTGGCTGTCGCTTGCTAAGGCTGCACGCGCAAGAAAGCCCGTAACAGGGTCCCTCAGAAGGAAGTGGTTCTTCACATCATTATTGTGTCGCGGTTCCCGGAAGGGTCGCTTTGATTTTTGCTGGCATGTTTAATCGAACATGCAGAAGGCTACCTCCCAGCTCAGGAAGCAAATCATACTTCTCATTTGTTTTCCTCAAACATATCTGCAGGGAGGTAAGGACACGTGTATATATATATACAATTTGTGTATGTGTATGCATATGTAAGTATGCACGTTCAATATACACTCATACACACAATACTTACACATATGCATACACTTATGCGCGTACATATACACGCACTTATACATATTATCATGCACATATGCAATCATCCATCATCTCTTTCATCATCATGTTCATGATGCATGATAATCATCACTATGCATCCTCATTATCACCAGCATTTAACGTCATCTCCGCAGCATCAAAGATGATGATGATGATGATGATGATGATGATGATGATGATGATGATGATGATGATGATGATGATGATGATGATGATGATGATGATGATGATGATGATGATGATGATGATGATGATGATGATGATGATGATGATGATGATGATGATGATGATGATGATGATGATGATGATGATGATGATGTTCATGAACACAATGATGATGCGCCGTGCCTGAGGTTTCGCTGCATTGCGCAGACAAGCAGGCAGGAGTTGCAACCGGCTGGTTCCCCGGCCAGGCCATGGATTCCCAGCGCGGATCGCGCGCACTCAAAATAGTTTCCATGTTTTTCGCCGTGAGGCCTTGGCTTCTTCTACGATGCTAGGCCAGAGCTGTGTCGTTGGAATGGTACCACCCATGTCCAGTTTCGCAAGGCAAAGACGTGTGGCTGGAGGTGCGAGGACAGCGAGCGTTTGCTTTGCCAATGTGTTTCATTTCACGCCGCCACGGCGCGACCTGCCAGGGCGCGACCTGAACATGGGCGCCGCAAGTTGGTAAGGCCCTCAGCAAATCCAGGGTTGACGTGAGCTGCTCCAAGGAGCTGTCGGTTGCACCCATAACGGGCCGCAGCCACGCAGTTCGCTTCTATCACACAATGCCTTCCGTTGCGAGGAGGATGCCTTGTGTTGGCCTGTTTATTTGTGTGCAGTCTAACTTCGCGCTCTGGCAGGACCGAGGTAGTTTGCGCCCATGGCTGTGTCAGGGTGCAGCTTGAAGGCTATGGGCTTCACCTGCTCCTACTTTTTTGACAGGCGCTCTGGGTGGATGACTTCCAGGACCTTTGCCTGCCTTTTTTCTCACCGCTGGCTGGTGTATGAGTGTTTGCTGGCCAGGCTGATGTAAACTGGCCAATAGATTTGGCTACATACATGCGGTTGTTCTGTGCGCTTACTGTGCTCACTCCCGCCGGGTGCTCGTGCTGCTGCCTTGTAACTGTATGTGACAGGCTGGATGGTTGTCCGTGCCTTGCTTGGACATTGCGTTGTTTCGTTTAACTTGCGTTCCAGGTGCCCCTCCACTGCACGCCCGTTGCCCAGCTGCCGCCGCCGTTTCGCCTCACACGACGCGGCAAGCAGGTTGCCGGCTGGCTGTTGTCTTGCTGCATGTCTGGCTGCCCAGCGTTGAGCGTTTTGCGATTGCGCAGGCCCGGGCTCTGCGCAGTCGACGCCCTCCAGTGGCAGAGGTCCATCTTACATGCTGGAGTGGCATGCAAGGGGCGGCCTGCTTTAGGATTGGGATGAGGAAGCCGTGCAAATTGCGATTGAGAAGGCAATGTCCGAGGCGGCTTCCACGTGCACGCTTCTCAGCGGTCGTCTTACGTTTGTCTCGTCATAGGTGCCGGCGCCCGGCCTCTTCCTGGAAAGCGCTTGGGCGTTGGCTCGCCAGCAGGTGATTTGCTGCCGGGCGACATCGAGAAAGCTGCGCAGAAGCAACGGCGTCAGGACGCTGTGAGCGAACACGCGCACACACACCACACACACACACACATCACCCTGCAGGCCGTTTTTGCAGCGGCTGCCCGCTGTCGCCCGTCCCCGGCTGCAGCCTAATTACTTGAGTAGCCTGCAAGCTCGAGCGCGCTTCCTCCGAAGAGTGCCTGCTCCGGAGCACGAGCGGTACTTTGTCCAGCGCAGGCAAAGTGATGCTCACCCTTGTGATAGGACACAGCCAGCCCTTGCCTGGCAGTGTATGCAGCGTTTCTCGGGCAGCGCTGACCAGGTTCCGCAGCGCCCCCAGCTCTCATGAGATTGCTGAGGTCAGTGGAGCCTGTCCTCGAAAGAGCGCAGCCGGCTCTTGCACGCGCTCTTTGGCAACACTTCCATCTCCGCGAGGCCCAGAGCGCGCGCTGCTAAGTCGTTCCATTCCGGCTCTGCTAGGTTGGCGCCGGCTTACCACAACGTGCGCGGTGTCTTCCCTAAGCCTTCCGGGAAGACGTGCTGGCTCGCATCTTGTCTTCAAGGCTTGCGTGCCACGGGGAAAAAAACAGCCGACAAAGCGGCGCGGCTGTCGCGCTATCAGACATCTGGAATGACTTTCTGTCTGCCTCAGGAGTCAGCGTTTTTCAGCAGCACGACCCCACAGATATCTACGTGAAGGTGTTGTCCCCCGTGATTGAACGCGAGTGGGCAGCCGCGTCTTCGGTCACTTGTTCCACCACTGTCCATCTTCGCAGCCTGTGTCGCTGCTGTGATGACAGACCGCCTTCTGTCCTTCCAAACAACACAGTCTGCTGCGGTGAAAATCCTTCTACGGGCGGCTGCTGGGCACTCTGTTGCCCTCTCGTCTCTTCTCCTGAGACAGATGTGTCTAGTGCGTGCCCGCCTGCCACAGGTTGCTGCACTACCACATCCATCGGAGTTGGTCTGCCGGGAGTGTTCTGCTAATCAATCCAGAACGGCAAGCTGGACAAGACACTGGCAAGCATTGCCAGTTGGACCTGAAAAGCCTGAGCAGCATCCAGCTGCAAGGGCAGCAGTACCGATTGCACGCTGCCATGGTGCACCGATGCTGGGCACTATGTGGCCTTTGTCCTGCTGGGTGCGATACAATGATGGGGACACGCCCCAGCGCTTGTCATCGGCGCCAGTGGCCGTGGCTACGCGCTCCCGACTTCTTGTCTACGAGCGTTGCGGAGTGGCTCGCCTGCTCTACGCTGTGCTTGTTTGCTTTCGCATCTTGCCACAATGCTCGCGCTGAGGTGCCTGAGTTTGATGCTCCTGCGCCGAGCACTAGCGAAACTCCGATCGCTTGACAACAACGGCAGTGCCTCGACCTGCCTATCTCAGAAGCGCTCACAGCACTGCAAGGGAGTGTGAAGATCTCCTTGTTGAGGACATCACTCCGAGATTGCTGCAAGCGGAGCCTGCTGGTCCCGAGGCGCGGTGCGTTCTTGTTGTTACAACTTACACCTTGCTTGCCCTAGGCTGCTCCTGCGACGGGGGCGAGGACTATGCCTATGAACAGTCAGCAACTACAACTGGAGTCGGATTCGATTCGGCTCTTGCAGCTTGTTGAGGGCGGTGATTGCCGCGGTTTTCTTGCTTCGCTGCCGCTGTTTCAGCCGCCGCCAAACACAGCAGATGCAAGCTGGGAGGCTTTGCGCAAGACCGCGTGAATTGCACCGCAGCAATCGAGGTGGAGCACTTCCTTGCAGACACGGCTTTGTACCCGTTGATCGTGTTGATGCATGCCACAGCTGCCGCTGAGTCCTTGCCACTGGTTTTCTTCCTTGACATTGCTCAGGGCCTCCTGCGCAGTGTTTTGAACAAACATGTTCATGTCCAGTTGGGACGCTGGGTGAGCCGCAATCGTCACTGGACCGTGGGCCCCCGTGGGCACGGCAAGCGTTGGAGAAGGCAAGTCGCCAGCGATGAAGCCGTCATGCTGCCATGCAAAGAGCTCTGGAAAAAAACTCGGCCATGGCGGTGGGCCGGAGCTGGGGCACTTTCCATTATCAGCAGGCTTCCACAAGTGCACACGCAGAGCGAAATCTTCGCAGCTGCGACGCTTAACCTCACCGTCCACAGCGATGAGGCGGGCCCGCTGCTTTGCCCGGCGCTTGCCTCTGGGGGCACTGCCGACCCACACAAGTACGCGGACCTCACGTTCTACTTGAACGCTGCGCGTGGCAACGGCGGCACTTTGTTGGAACGGCAGAGGCTCGAAAAGGAGAACAGCCGCCCTCCGCATCCTGCAGGACCAGTTGCAGAGCCATGTGGCGTGACGCTGGACCCCACCAACTTTCACATCTTGTTCTTGCAGCAAGAGCTCTACTTCGAGACTTGGTGGGCGCAGTTGGCCGCGCGCAAACGCATGGGACTCGCCCAGCGCTGCTTGTTCTGCTTTGGCTGCCAGATGACCGCATCGCAGCCATTTTGACGCTGCCTATCCTGGAGGCCTACTTTGGCTTGGTCATACAAAGGCTTGGCCCCAAGGCAGCAACCATGGATGTCCCATGCCTGACGCTCTCCAAGGCGCAGCGAGAGGTTGTCGTGGAGCTTGAGGAAATTTGCAAGTTGTACGCTTGCAAAGCAACTGTTTCCACCAGCCTTCGGCGCTCGACGCCAAAGGCAATGTACTGGCTCGAGACTGCCATCCTCAGCAACCATGTGGGGGAGCAACTGTTCCCTCATGCCCTGCGCGGCACTTCTTTAACTGACTGGAGCTGGACAGTCTCTGACACTTCCGCGCAAGCATGCCGTTCATGCATCGGCGATACTTGTTTGGCCAAGCTGTCCTGAGTGTTTCTGTGGATGAGCAAGCCTGGATCGGCTGTGAAACAGCGCTTCCACTGGACAGCAAAACAGATGTCCCTTTGCTTCACAAAGTCTTGCGCGGGACACCTGGTCCATTGATTGGGGAGGCCCACGTTGTTTGTGTTGAGCTCTCGCTCAAGCGGCTTCTGCGCAAGGGTACCACGCAGCAGGCAGCAGCAGCACGGAAGCGAATACTGTCCTTGCTGGAGGCCTTGGAGCAACTTCAGCCTGGAGTTATGGTGCGCTCGGAAAGCGAGGCGTTCCTGCGCAAGTTCACCGTGGATGCCTTGAGCGCGCAGAGCGTGGCTTGCAAAAGCACCGAGTGCCGCTCATCTTGTTCGGAGTGCCGCAGAACGTAGATCACGGGCACTTTGCGGCAGAGCTTGTCTCCTGGCCAGATGCCCTTCCCCCAGAGCACGAAGATGTGGCCGCCACTGCGATTGATGCTAGCGGCGCAGCTGCAGCCTTACATCCTGAGCCGTTCCTGAACTTGCTGTTATGTCTCGCGACCGCACGGCTGCTGATGCAACAGACCAACCCAAGCCCAAGGTCAAGAAAGGGTCGCCCTGTGACGAGGAGTCACGTGAACCTGCTGGCAGTTCAACTGCAATGCCGTCTACGTCAGAGGACTGGACCATGGCCGGTGTACATCAGGTTCCTGGACCTTTGCTGACGCAGCAAGGTGTGAGGGAGCTTCTAGCCAAGCACGCAGCATGGGCGTCGTGCCGTGTGGAAATCCGGCAGCGATACCACAACAAGGACCGCCCTCTTACTCCAGTCATCCACCCCCCAGGTACACTTCTTGTCTGGGTCACTGGCGAACACTGCCATACTTCTGAAGCAGGGAACAGCAAAGTCTTTTCTGCAGCGCAGCTTCAAGTAGCTCAGACCTTTGTGGACATCACTTCGAAAGACTTGAAGCTAGCGCTGCAAGCTGCCAATGCCGGGGAGCGGCTGCCTACAGACCAGCAGTTGAGCAACTGGCTGAAGCGAGCCCGCAAGGTCATGCCAGACAAAGCGACCAAGGTCGTGGAGGTGGTGCGAGACCTCTGCGCGCTCTACCTTGTGGACGAGCCGCTTCTCAGTCAACCGGAGGCGGGTGGGTAGCAAATAGTAGCGAAGGCCAATTTTAGTTTCGGGGCATTTGAGCTTATTTCAACACGCAGCCTAAATTGTGGGCCATGTGTGTGCCCCATGAGCAACCTTGCACAGGCCTGTGTCCTTCCCCAAGCGCCAGCCATGCGGCGCATGTTGGACCGCTATGCTGTCAATGACCAGTTGGTTGCCAACCACGGCATGGGTGTAGCCACGGTGATGGTTGCCAGGTCCAAGGCCGGGCTTACACGTCCCACGCCGCCCCCATCACGCAGGCAGTGTTCCATGACGAGACTGAACCAATTACGAAAGGTTGTTCCGAGCCTTCGACAAGCATTGGATGGCGGCGCTGCAGGTCCACAAGGCGCCTTGGCGTGTTGCGTTGGTGTATGTTCCAAACCGTGTTTTCGCTCCTGTCCGATCCCTAATTTCGGCCAGACTTCCACAAAGGCGCTCTTGCTGGCCTGCGTCTCGAGCTTGTGATGATCTTTTGCACTTCTCGCACAAGAAGCACACGACACTTGCAAGCCAGTGCAAGACCTTTGAGTAAAAGAAAGGCAAGTGGGTGAAGACTTATCTGAAATGGACAGTGGATGCTTTGGCCTTGCTCCGGCTCGTGCCAACACTGTCCATGTTTCTTATTTGTGCTTTTCACGGCGAAGGCATTGTCGCTGACTGGCTGCGTTCCTACGAAAAGCCTCTTCCTCCTGCTCTTCGCCGCGCTCCCGTTGATGCAGACCAACTCATTTTTGCATCCTTCTGGTGCGGCCGTGATGGATGCTTTCCTGGCACAGGCGGCGGCAGTCAGCCAGCGGAGGCGGTACACGCTCCTTGACAAACCCAGCTCCAAAAACTTGGTGGCAAGGGCGATGTGTCTCATGTCCTGGGAGTCATGCAGCGCCTCTTCACCGAATCTTGGGTGCTGGTAGCACGCCGACTCACCCTTGCACCTCAGAACTACTGAGATCGACCCCAACCTCATTTGTGGAGAGGCCCTGACGCGTGCCGGTCCAACACCTCCGGCGCGCTTTGCTAAGCTGTCGCCTGACACAACATTCTATGCGCGCACATGCTCTTCCACACACTGTGTTGTGCTTGTTCATTCCGAAGCGCAGCTGCCACTGCCGAGCAAAATGGCAGCGCAACCGGCCGACATCATGTTCGCGACAGGCAGTCGCCTCACCACTTTGCTCAAGCAAGCTAATGTTTTAGATGGAGAAGGGAAGTTGCAGCTTGAGGCAGCCGGCCGGATGTTTGAGGACTTGTGCTGCGTGATGGGTAGCTCTTTGCAGTACTCTTGTTCGGTCTACGCCTAACACGGCCAGTGCGAGCATTCCATCTTTGTGGCGAGCCTAGACCTCACACACAAGCCGGCAACGGTGGACTTGAAGACGCTCCCTCAGAAGCGGAAAGGCGGCCGCCCGAAGGCAGCCGCCGAGCCACCGCGGAAGCGCCGCGCGCTCGCCAAGGCGAAGGCCAAAGCTGTTGCAAAGAACTCGACCAGAGCCAAGACGACGACAGGTAAGCCCAGAAGGCGGGGGCGTGCGCTGCTGTTTTGTTGCTATCCTTCCATCGTCAATTTGATTGTCTGATTCGCCCAGGCAATGATCTCCGCTCGTGGCCTAAACAAACGTAACCAGAGGCGCTGACCAAAAAAGGCCGCACGCGTGGCTTTGCTTTGCTGCAAGCCTAGCCAGAGCTTTCACCCATGTAGTTCGCGTCTCCTGGAGATGCTTACGTTGTTCTGTTCGTCTCCTGCGCCCTTTTCTGCTGATGACAAGCGTGATGAGCCACGCAACTCCCAGGGCCAGCCCCAAGAACTGAGGGCTCGCTTCGAGGCAGTTGAGGCAGCTGTAGTCCCGAGAGCTGAGGGCTGGGTGAAGGGCAAGGGTTTGGGGACAAGCGATTGAGTAGGTTCGAAGGCTGCGGCTGGGGCCGGACACAGGCTGGCGGACACATAATGAAGCAATTCTCGCGGTGCCACACACGCGCCGTGTGTAGCAATAGAGATACGTATGTGTATATATATATACATACACATACATATAAATATATATATATATACACATATACAGATGCACATATGTAGATATAGACATATACATGTACAAATGCATATGCATACATACTTACATATATGTATGTAAACATAGATATGCGCATATCTATGTATATATATATATGTACAAACACGTATGCACTTATATATATATATATATGCATATGTATGTACAATTACATATGCACATGCATGTATAAATAAATATTTACAACTACATATGCACTTATATGTATACATATTATATGTATGTACAAATTCATATGCACTTATATGCATATTAATGTACAAATGCACATATATATATATATACACATATGTATGTACAAATAGATATGCACATGTGTGTATGTGTATCTATATATATATATATCTACAAATACATATGCGCTTGTATATACATATATATATATATATATACACATGTATGCATGTACAAACACATATGCACATATATGTATATGTATATATATACATATATAGATATGTACAAATACATGTGCACTTATATATATACATATGTATGTACAAACCATATGCACATATAATCACATATATGTATATACAGATATATGTCATGAGCTCATGCATTCAGCATTCAGGTGCCGCTCCCCACATTGCCTCCGGTGACCACCACTTGGGCGCCTGCTCCGGCGCCGAGCCCGGCCACGGAGCCGGCGCTGAACATCACCGTGGTCTGGGAGAAGCCGCGGCAGGCGGGTTCGACGGTTGGACGCTTGGAGTTGGACCATTGCTAGGTTTTCCGCTGTGGCTTTCTGCCAAAAATTCGGGCACCGAGGTTTCCAACCAGCGTTGGTTTCCCTGACCCTAGCTGGCTTGCGGTCCGTTGGTTTCCCCATGGCTTCCAGATTAGGTTGCTACTTGGTGGTTGGGATCGGTTGGCTTTGAACCCTTTAGGTCCTCACCCGTTTCCGTCTTTTTGGTAAACACGACAGAGAAAACACACACACACACACCTCATCGGAGAGCTCATGGACTTTAAGTTTTTTGGGAAGACCATTGTACAACGAGGTGCGGACTTGGATTCCTATGAAAAGCCAAAGCTGAGTCCAGGGCTCCTTAAAAGATGGATACATTTTGCCACCAATTGAAACATGTGGCATTTTCAACACCAAGAATAAAGGGAAATCACCAAATAAACAAGGCAACGTTCAGGTGTATAATTTAAGAATCCCTGCAAAAGGGTACCGTTATTCCTGGTTCTTGAGGGTGGGCACTGGAAGGAAGCTGCGGCATGTCAGGCCGACACCGCCAGCCCGGACATGCCTCAGATCTTCATCCCCGGCACCCCAGCCCCAGACATCGATGCGGCGGCGGCCCGTGCATCCGAGCGCCACATCGAGCACCACAAGCACCACAAGCAACACAAGCACCGCGTTGCAGCGCATCCTCCCCCTACGGAGGAGTGGACGACTAGGGCAGAGTTGGCACGAGTGTTTGTTTGGTGTTCTTCCAAAGGGGTTTTGTTTCTCTGGTCCATAGGATTACCCACGCTTCCCTCACTGGGGTAGACTTAGCTATAGGCTTATAGGATACAGTTCACCAGTGACTCAAAGTGAAGCAATCAATATTAATATACATTCTATAACTGGGCCTAACTCTAATCATGCTCAGTTTAAACTCATTTGTTGGACCGACATTGGGCGATGTTCCTGCGGAGTCGCTGGGGGTCAACACTCGGAGCCGAGCCGACACTCAGCGTCTCCCGAGCCGAAGGATCATGTGGAAGGCAATGCTTCGGAGCGCGACTCACACGCAAGGGCCGGGCCTTTACATGTGTTATGTGTTTGTATCTTCGCCTGGAGGAAGCTAAACCAAGAGGTGAACGAATCAAACAGGTTAGGGGGTGATTCCCCATTCTTTAGAACCATCGTTTTTGAACAAAAGACAACGTCTGTTTCCCTGCGTGTGTGCCGGTTTGCTGGAATGAAGGATGCCTGGAAAGCAAGTGGAAAGCAAGTGGGGAAGATACCAACCGGTTACATCGATTGATTGATGGGTTTACGGTGTGTCCCCAAAAGAGTGTTTTCGAACAGGACAGGGGAATAACCCTGAAGATGGTCGGTGTTGCTTCAATTGCTGAACCGCAGCTTATTTTTAGAGAAGTACCGAAGCATGGCACTTGCAACCAGCCACACGCTAGGTAGAACCGGGGTCTTCTACATGATTTTGAGAGTTTCATTGACCAAATTGGTGCTTCTCAGAGGGTTCTGGGGCTTTCAATGGAAGACCCGACCCCTCCATTAGACACCACGGAGGTGCTTGGGGGTCTCAAAACCTGGCTGTTCGAGGGCCCTAAATACATCGGCAGCCTCTGGGTTCTCAGAATTAGGGAACCCTTTTTACCCTTGCAAGAGTCTCGTCTGCGAAACGGTCCGCTGGTCTTTCCGCCCCAATGGGTTGGTTTCCTCTTGGCTTCCCTTTGAAACCAACGCGTGGAAAACTAATCTGATGTTTTGTTTGTTTTTTCTCGCAGGGGCTCGGGCCCGAGAGGTGGCAAAATAAAAATAAAATCTCCCCCCGCTTTGCGGTTTTGTGAATGAGACCGTGTTCCCGGGTTTGAGTATGGCGCTTATGAACCTTCCCAGCACTTCCAGTTACTGTTCTTTTTTCGGCTTTTAGGGTTTCGTGCAAAGGTGTCCATTGAATGCAGTGAAAGTTAAGCTTTGTGGATTTGAGGACAGTCCAGTTGTTGTTTTACTTGGGAGGAAGTGTTTACTCTGGAAATCTTGGAGCAAGATGCAACTTCGGGTCCCCGTTATATCCCGTTTAGGTTCCGTCGCAATCTGATGAATCGTAGAACAATTATGTGAGACTCGGTCAAAATGACTGGTGCTTGTTGTCAGGGACATAGGGGGAACGAGCTCTCAACTTCCAACAACCAACTCACGACTTTTCCATCCCCAATGGCAGCTGTGTCCTTTTGGTTTCCTTAAGCCATGGAAACTGGGCTCGCCCAACACATGTCCTTTTGGGGAAGTCTTGACCGCACCTATACCTGTAACCTCCACCATGCCTTCAAGAGCCGCTCACTGCGACAAGACGCAAGCTCAGCGGCTGGGCCCCATGAAGCTTCCTTAGGCATGCGCGAATTCAGATTGGGCGAATTGTAGTAATACATGCAGTTGGAGATTTCTGTTTTTTGCAACCTGCTTTGGAGGCCACTGATTCCCTTGGTGGCCAGAAGGGAGCAAAGCGGGGGCTGGCCGCATTTGCCTCAATGGCATAGGGGTTGATCAAAAGGTCCGTGATACATGGGGTGACGATGAGTGACAACCACGAAAGGTACAGCTTTCACCGCTTTAAGTGGGAAAACAAATACGAAACACCGGGGGGCCGCAGGGAATATGGATCCACCCTCAAATGAATTGGAAAACGTCACCATGGTCAAAACTGGGGGTCGCAGGGAATATTCATCAACCCCCAAATGATTTCTACACCTCCCTAAAACAAATGAGCCACAATCAAAACCCGGGTCGGTGAAGGTTAGTAAGGGATACTCTCGACCACAATTAGCTGCGGATATCCGCTTGTTTATTCTTGAAGCATGGTGCTGGGTCCCGACTATTTTAATACCTGTTTTTTTTTGTGACTCAATTGGTGGCTCCAAGACGTACCAAAATAGCACCTGGGTAAATGGAACCCAGGACTAAAACCCGCGTAACCCTAGTCCTTCAATTTTGAGCCACACCCAATTGGAGCAAGAAGCTGAGGCCTGCCTTTGGCGCCGGTGCAGAACACCACCTGGCCGGTGGATGGCGCCAGTGAGGCCCTTGAGGCGAGACTAGCGGGTTTTTTGTTTCTGGAAAACGGTTGCAGCCGCTTTTTGTCCGGAGTTCACCTGGTCCTTATGTTATCTTCTAATATCCTAGTGGATGAGCAAACTTACTCTGTTTTTGTGAGGAAGCTCCCTCTCAAATCGACCAATACTCCCAACCTGTTTGATACCAGGGAACGTGGGTGTCTCAAAGTTGGGGCCCGCCCAACATGGCCTGCCGGGCTTTCCCTTTAAATCCCTTAATAAGATGAGTGTCATATCCGAAATGGGGCACCGAGCGCCAACAAGATCCGAGGGGCTGATGCTGGAGCGCCATCGACTGGCGGAGAAGCTGCTGAACGTGTCCGACACCTTCCAAGGCCAAAAGCGCAGGCGTGCATTGTCCTTCCCGTCACTTCCCGACTTCCTGGACTTTAAACTTGTTAGAAAAGCCATTTTGGTGGTAGATAAAGCAACAGTTTGGACTGTGTTTGCCCCCAGTAAATCCATTTACCCTCCCAACTGGCATGGAAGGCGCTTTGTGCACATCCCTGTTAGTTGGTGGGAGGATAGTAGTAGGTAATCAAGCAAACTAGCCTTTAAAGAGGCAAGAATAAGTTGGCTGGTTACCTGCTATAGCGGTATCTGGGATCCAATGCGCTTTGTTTGTTTGTGTGTGTGTGTCTCTTTGGGGTATACCCTTTCTGTTGGTTGGTTTAAGGGGAAACCAAAAGAACACCGGTTCCATTTTGGGACAAATCCTTACCCTTTATGCGCGCCACAGCGAGGGAAGCCATTGGAAGGCGGCCCCACGGCTGCTATGACTCGGAAGCAAAACGACTTTTGGGGGACCCCAAACCCGCTTTTCGGAGCCCGAAGCTGTTTCTGACCCGCCAAACTGTTTGGCTCAGCAAAGAACTGGCGAGCTTTTCTCCCTGAAAACCCGGCTCCTGGATGGTTTGAGCATCACCTTTGGAGACCGCTTAAAGTGAGTTTCCTGATGGTGGGGTATAATCCTTAAACGGAAGTATGGTGAACAAATTGTTCGGCATGTTCGGCCACATGAGAACAGGTGTGCCATACCTCGTTACTGAGTCGTTACATGCCGTGTTACATACCCAGCCCCAGTCAGGCCCAGCGACCTTTCTGTTTTTTTTCGTCGCCCAGATTGCGCTGAACTGTTGCAACTTTCGCGCTGGCGCTTCTGAACTGTGCATTGTTCTGTGCTTGCTACTAGTACTCGCGCACTAAAAACAATGCGACTTTCGAGCTGGAGTTGCAGAACTCTCAAGCGCAGTCTTCCCGTCAGGTGACAAGGACACCCGTTACTGGCCCGTCACATACCTGTGTAACAAGATTCATACTGTGGGGTACGCCGTCTTTTGAGTGTATTTGCATACCCAATTGAACACCCAGACTTGTTTCTCAGATATATCTTGCTTCTGGCAGCAACTATGCGTTCGGGTCGCCTTCTTGCCACGCTGGGTCGCAATTGTGTGAGCTTGGGTCACCCAGGTTCCATGGTTTAGCTGTTTGCACCACCCGAGCCACAATCAAAACCCGGGTGGATGAAGGTTATAAGGGACAATCCCATCCCAACCACAAAATAGCTGCGGAGATCCGGCTTCTTAATTCTTGAAGCGTGGCTCTGGGATGACGACCACTCTAATACCGGGCTTTGATTCTGACTGTGACCCCCTGATTTAGATGGTTTGGGGTCCATGTTTCTACCGATCGGTTTTGATGACTCGACCCCAGGCATGTCGAGTACTGTTGGAACACTCACAAATAAGTCTCCCTTTCTTTCAGATGGCCGGGACCCGCGGTATGCTTTCTGGAACCAGTTTGCAAACGAACTGTTGATGTGTATCTCTCTCCCAGACGAACATTGAAGCTCCCAGGACGTGGAAGACTTGGTTCCATTTTCAGAGGCCTCTAGGAGTTTTCATGTTAGCCTGACATGGTTGTTGTTGGGAAACATTTTACATCTTGGCTTGTTGTGGTTTAGTGCTTGAAATCCAAGCACTTGCCTGCTAAAATTGAAATTGTTTGCTCCCCTTCCAACGTCAACCGACTTTTGCCGCCGACTGGGGGACACTCCGACGTCTTTTGTTGTTTTCAGGCACCACGGCCTGGTCAAGGCGCTCCTGGTCAGCGAGGCAGGCGGTCATTTCAGCGTTGTCTTTGGAGGTCGCGCCACTGCATTGGTTGGGCCCCGAGCATCAGAAAAGCCCTGGATGGGTTTGGACCTCCGATGAAATGTTTTGGATTGCCGGACAAAAGACGTGGTGTATTGGAGGTCCCAAGATTGCTAGGGAGGCTAGTCATTTGGGCTGCCCTGTCCAGCAAGGTTGCGGGTTGAACATGGACACCACCCCATTACAAAATCAGCGTTAGCGGCCATCCAACGCGCTTGCCTTTTAATGCTGCAATAATGATGATCGACAACTGATGAAACATCCTATGTCCTATGTCTTGAGATGCACATTGGCCGAGGTGAAGCGAATTCGTTGAGGTTTACAACTGTTTTGGTATGAACGTTGGTCTAATTTAGAGGGAAGCTTCAAGTTAAGTTGAGATTGGACCGGTTTAACAAATGCCTAGAAGTTTGGACAGTTGACTCGGTGCCCAGGACGTGAGGAGCTCAGTTTGATGTTGAAACAGTCCTAGTTCAAAACGTTATTCATGGTGGTGGGGTTTTGATTGCTATCAACCAAACAAAATGTTATGATCACCGGGGAGTACTGTTTCCTGTTTGCAGATCGACATGAACCCCAAAGAGCCACTTTTTTATTGGATGAACGCTCTTTTTGGGTTCCTTCCAGTAGCTCGCAGGGGGGAAGTAGGCAGATGATAGGCATGGCTATAAGTCAGACGACCCCTGTCGGTTTACATGTAACCATGATTGCGACTGAAACAGGTTGAGCGTGCAAGTGGCTTTCGCGTGGACAAAGGGTTGTGTTGGTCCTTTTTGGGACCTTTAGAGGACCAAAGGGTCGGATTCCGGGAAGATTGCACTAGGCTTGAAGCCAGCCTTCCAAGCTTCAAGCCAACGCTTCCGCCTGAAACGTGCCGAGCCGCTACTTGCAAAGTTGCCAGCCAAGTCCGCTGATCTACTCTGAACGTCCCTTTCTTCCCCATATTTGAAAACACCGCAGAACAAGGTGATTGCCTTGTGTTCGCGGTGTTTTCGACCCCGTGGTAGCAGGCAATCATCATTTCTATGGAACATTTGCCTTGTCTATGGTAGCAGGTAACAGGCTTGGATCATCGGATCATCGCCTTCTCCACGAACCGACGATGTTTCAACCCCACGTGGTTTCTTTGATGCGGGTGTGGCTCAAAAATAAAGAGCTGGGGCAAACCGCGGGTTTTATAATTTTTGGTTCCGTTTACCTTTTGGTGCCATTTTGGTCTCCATGTTTTTGAGCCAACCCATTTAAAGATCTTGCTCGGGTGCCATTTTGGTACGACATGTTTTTGAGCCACAGCCTCCCCGGATACCGACTTTCGTTCGTCAGGACGCGCTGCAAAACCTGCGCGCCGCCTGCGCGGACCACGCGGAAGCCTCGAGCCTCGTCTGGCGCGAGCTCAATGCGACTTGGCGCCGGCGGCAACATGGGCAGAAGCAGACAACAGAATGAAACACAGAAACACAGGCACAAGCAGAAGCACAAACAGAAGCACAAACTTAGAGGCAAACAGAAAAATAAATACATAAATAAATAAATACGTTAATTAACGCGGACAGATACAGAAACAGAGACACAATCACACAGAGACACAGAATTGCATGCACAAATGCCCACGCACATGTGTAAGAAGGAGTTTTGGGTCCCGACTTTGGAAGGTTGGGCACCATCTCGATCCTTGGCAAATCAGCAGGTCTCAGGGAACCGTGCGAAGTGGAGAACCCATCCCTATGACTTCTCGGGGATTCCAACTTGATATCACAGGCACCAGGTAGGGAGGAGATCCTCTCTTCACTCGGTTGTTGTTGGGAAACATTTTACATTTTTGCTTATTGTGGTTTAGTGGGAAATCCCCACTTAACTGCTAAAATTTAAATTTTTGCTCCCCTTCCAACGTCAACCAAGTTCATTTTATAAGCTTCGTGGGGATTCCTTGAATCAGATGTTGGAAGTATAGTACAGGATACGCAGATACATCAGGAAGGACACAAGTTGTGTCCAGAGCGAAAGCAACAAACAGGGCAACGCCCTGGGGAAGTTTGAGGGCAACCAGACGGCCAGCTGTTTTGGTCAGGGAACCGACGAGAAGTCTCTGTGAAGGAGTCAACATCCCATGGATTCAGAGCCAGGTTTCCAATGATTCAGAGCCTTGCAACGGAGGTTCGGAAAATGCGCCCAATGATGACTAGTCACTAGGTTGCAATGGCTCCGCCCTTCTGGCTCTCAATGGTAGTGACTAAGGGCCTGTCTTGACCTGAGATCTCAGGTGACGCAGACGAAGCTTCGGAGCGGCTCGGAGCAAATTGTTTGTTTGCTGGTTTCCCAGGTCCCCTGAGACGAGGGTTTTGCACCTTTGCATCAACTTCAACTACTTAACGTGCCAAGCAACCAGGCTTAACCAACCAGCAAGCCAATTTTATCCTACTCCCACAAAGGACATCCTTTCGGAGCCATGATGCTAGATTGATCTAATTTGAACATGCGTACTGCGCCTATCATGCCAGGGCTACCAAGACTCTGAAGCACACGTGTCAGGAATATGAGCAACTGTCAATATGTTCTCAAATACGGGAACCAAGGGGATGACATGTGCGACACTTACGAAATGCCCATTTTTGGAAATGGGAGCTTCTCACCCAACCCCTTGAAGACAACAATCATGCCGCTGCTGCGCTTCAAGGTTTGCGCCAGTCATTCCTGAGGACTACAGTAGATAGGTGTCAGGATGTGACAGGGCCTTCTGGACGCTGACAGGTGCCTGTCACGGAGATCGGGGCTCGGAAACGCGGATATATACATACATATATATATATATATATGTGTTTGTTGTTTAGAAAGCAACTCGTGGGTAGCAACCAGTGACATGTTCTCAATCGAGCGCAATCGGATATTTTTGTGAGTTCTCAATATGGGTGTCTTCAAGATGGACGCTCCAGCACACCCTCAAAACGAGACAGCCCCAGCTTTTCACGCCTTCAGCGGCTCGAGCGGCTTTCGCAAGACTCAGAGCCACGTGCTCAAAGCCGATTCGGGTAGATGATCCGGTTAGCAAGGGCCAATCCCAGCCAATAGCTGCGGAGATCCGCCTTGTTAATTCTTGAAGCATGCTTCTGGGTTCACCATTTTAATACCGGGTTTTGATTGTGGCTCAGGTGAAGGGATCAACGAATGCTGCCCTACAAAAACCAGGGACATGCACTCGCCAGGAGGGACAAATTCTTCGGATGTGACTGGCTTCCTTACGTGGGAAATTCGAGGGCAAGGTAAGTCAACCTTTTCTAAATGGTTCTTCAATCAACCAAGTGTCACAGAGAGGCTCCCCGAAGCAAAGCAAAAGGTTCCTTCCACCTTTTTTTTTTGTTTTTTTTTCCTTTTTCTTTTTTCGCTTTCTTGCACTGGGCTTACGTCATTCTCTGTTCATAAAGGTTGACCCCGGGGTTCAGTTACCCCCATTGAACAATGGTTGGGGTTGTATTTCACCACCGTGGTTTCCCTGTGGATTGTGCTCATCCAAATTGGGTCCCCGTGGGCCATTTGTGGGTCCCTAAGGGGCAACTGACCCAAAGATGGCCCCAACACACGGTCCCCCGTTTTTTGACTCGCGTCGCATATGGTCGGAGTGAGGGCGAGCCGCGCGTCCTAAGGGCTGCATGGGCGCATCCGCATTGCCAAAGATGCTGCACGGCGGCTGGAGGGCTGTGTGGACGAGGATGAGGCCTGAGAAACACCGAAAACATGCCCCAGAGGGTCCCTTGGTACCTTCTAAGGAGGTACTGAATGACTCCTTTTTACCTCCAAAAACCCATCAACTCATAAGGTACCAAGGGACCCTTTGGGTGCATGAGTTTAGGGTAGACTCAGTATGGAACAGAGTCAAAAGCATTGTCAAGGCGCAGGGTTTCATATGCCCAACTGTTTGCAGTTGTTTGTTTCCGAAGCACCCAACTTCTGTCTGATTGAGGTCGAGACTGCGTTTCTGGGATATCAGGCAGCGGCTTTGGGACTTGGTCTTTGCGCATGTCTTTTGCGAATGCCTGCGAGGGTGTCTTGGGTAGCGGCTTGGAAGTTGTCGCAGGGCGTTTCTGTTGGGGGGGGGGGGTTGGGGGAAACGTTGCTTGATATGTGTTCGTTGATGCTCTGGGGAAGTCTGTGGGTCTGTCCTCGGGATGTTTGCGGGGATATCTTTGGGGATGCTTTCGGGGATGTGTTGAAGTATAAGTTTTTGAGGATGGTTTTGTTTGTTTTCTCTTGTTTTGTCCAGCGATGTTTTCTGGCATGTCTTCGGTCGTCAACGTGTTAGTCGCCTCAAGCAAGGTGTCCTTCCTCTCTGCAAGGGTTTTCCTAAAAAATATGCCACCCTTAAACAAGTGCCACATTGCCTTTTGTCCCATGCCATTGGCGTCTGGGGTGATTCTGACTTTCCCCTGTTGGCTTCAATCACTCAGCTTCTGATTATATGGCTCTGGCACCTGGGGTCTGAAGGCAAACGAACTGGCGATCGTTTTTGGGTACCTGGGAAACCCAGTGGCCCCTGACAAAGATTCGGTCACCTAGGTCCCCCAGCGATCGGTGCCCTTTCCCCGCTTCTGTTTTGGGGGAAGGGTTCCCCTACTAAAATAGACTGCAGAAAAAAGTTGGTACCCATATTTTAGGTCCTCTGCTGGAGGACCTAGTCACAATCCTTTGTCTCGTGGGCCAAACCATTTCTGCCAAGCTGTTCCACCCGCGCGAGGCAGCGAAGCACGCGAACCGCGCGCGCTGGTCGGCGGAGGCTGCCATGCAGCGAGCAGAGGTGGAGCAACGTGCCTCGGTGAAGCAGTCGAAGCGGTGGAAGCGGTCGAATCGAGCCCCGGGTTGGGTCGGGTTGTAGTGGCTTGCTCTTTCATTCACTTTGTTTTTGGAGGGCCCGTGAAAATCAATAATAAAATTCCAAGTCTTGTTTTCCCATAGCCATGTACTGTTTTTTGGAGGGCCCCCTGTACTAATTCTTGCCTTCCCATGGCCATGTACCATTTTTTCTTCGGGGGGGGCCTTGAAAATCAACGAAAGCGTGCCAATCGCCACTGCGTGAGATGATAAAAAGCAATGTCCGTTTTTTGGGATCGGTACGGATAGTCATCGGCCTCTCAATAAGACATTAGGAAACTGTTATAGGCGGGGCATGACTGTTGGTTAGTGGCTCCATGCGAAACTCTTCTGCATTTCCGGATTTCCTGTGCCAAGCCGGATTGTGCAATTGCAGGGGTTTCTAACTACGTATGCTTTGACATTGCGAGCTCGCAAATACGTGGGAGGTTCCTAGATCTTCGTCCTACGGATAGCCCCCTCACTCCTTGCCCGGGCCTTTTTGATATCACGTTTCCAGACCCCCGAAAATATTTTTTACCCGCAGAAAAAAAACCACTACGTGACAAATTTATGCCCTTTCCACTTGCCTAAGCATGCTTTGTGTAAATTTTCCCCTGGTGGTTGTAAAGGGAATCGATCACTCTATGCTGGAAATATCAGTTGCTTTTTCCAGTGAACTTAAGCAACTGGAAGATAATGTACAGTTTTCCTATCACTAGTGGATATACATATGGCTGTGGCTCAAAAACCCGGTACCAAAATGGAACCCTGGTAAGTGGAAACATGGACCAAAACCTGCGGTTTGCCCCTCCTGTTTAGTTTTGAGCCACACCCATATATATATATATATATGTCCAGTGGGCTTAAGCAAACGGATTACGTTCGGCTCGCCGCGTTTTCGCTCGCCGCGTCTTTTTCGCTCGTCGCGTTTTCGCCTGAACTGAGGCTTGGGGAAGCTGCTGGGCATGAGAAAACGCCTCAAGTGACGCGCGGAGGAACAAAAATGGCCCAGGTGGACGTTCCGGAACCCGGCGCCCCCCCCCCAAACAAAAACACAGGAAAATCGTATACATACATATATATATATATATATTTTTATTATAAGTATATATATATATGTATTATATAGATATATGTATACCAGAGGGTCCAAGTACCTCGTGAGGATGGTTTTTGGGGGTAAAAAGGGGTCTATTTACCTCCTTAGAAGCTACTTGGGGGGGGCTACCATATAGAAATAAGCCCAGCTGGTTTCCCCAATCCTATCTCACCGAACAGTGTTGAATCTCACCTTCCTTTTCCGCCTAAATTCTGAATTGGTTCATCCTGGTTTCCTTTGTTCCCCTTTTAAAAGCACCTGACCCGGTGTGTTTCAACCTGAAAAACGGACATGTTGCAAAGAGTCCCACATCGAGACTCGCGAAATCGATCCGCTGCCAGGTACTTACAACTTGGATGTGAGGCCCCATGCCGATCCCTACCGCATCAGCCCAGCCCAAGATGTCTCCGCAGAGCAGGCAAGAGGGGGGATGTCCCTAGACCTCTTGCGATCGCGCTGAGCAATGTTGACCCCATATGGGTGTGGCTCAACATGTAAGAGCTGGGGCAAACCGCAAATGTTGATCCTTGTTTCCCATTTACCTAGGGGCCATTTTGGGGATTCCATCTTTTTGAGCCACACCCATACGAATTTCAGTTATCCAGTTTATGAATAGGGGTGCTTCTCCCTGGGTGAAATGTGGATGGAATCAGGCCAGTCTGTTGGAGAAAACACCCCCCATATTCACAAACTGGGGTCGATTAATATGGGGTCAACGTTATGAGAACGAACCGGATTTTGTGATTCCCGGATAAAGAAAACCATAGGATGGGTGGTTTATTTCGGGGTCATTTCATTTATCATTCGTTGAGAACCAGCAAGCTGAGCTGTTTGGATCGGCTGGTTTCTGGTACCTGGATGTGAAAAACTGACGTCGTGTAAGTAGGTGATCTCACCAAGGCTCAAAACTTGGAACCTACTGACCTGACGTTGGTTGCAACCATAGGTGTCCTTTTGATTGGTTTGATTGGTTCGACAATGGATGGGTTCCACCAGTCTGGATGAGTTTTGTGCCCCATTTACCAGGGACTCCCAGCCGCCGATATCCGGGGATCGCACTTCACAGGGCGTCTGGTAATATGTTCCAAGGAGAAAAATGGAGACGGGAAGTGTCCATGCGCCAGCTCAGGTAGAGGACCCGGCGGTTCCAGTGCCCAATATAGCGATATAGTGGGTACCCAAGGAAAAAAAGCATCACGTACTAGAGGAAAGGGCACCAGGTTGCCATGAATCATAGTTCTGGTTACCCAGTACAATAGAAACTGGAGAGGTGGAGCATGTGAAGCAGAATCTGGAAATGCCATGTGTGGATGTGGGTGTTGAATCGAAGTGGGCTATAGAACACAGGATGTTTCTTGTGATCTCTTGAACTCTTCGCCAACAGACACACACACACACTGATTACATTCTATCTTTGCGTTTTTTGAAGCCCCCCATGAGATGGGCGTGTAAAGGAACACCAAAAGGAGACCAGCCTTTGAAATCCAGGTCCCCGATTTTTAGGACACAATCATAGGTTCGCACATTGGCTGATGCATTTCCCGCTTAGGGTCAGTTCCAAAGGGTGACCCCAACCCCACCAAGCCCATGAGCCCAACCCCTGACCCCAACCCCAGCCCCACCCCCACCCCAACTCACCCCCCAGCCCCAGGCTTTCCGTCTCCTCATGCAGCTGTCAGGCTTGGCCCCGGGGGACGCTGGTCTTCTACAAGAGCGAGCAAATGGAGAAGCAGGCGTGACTGTTCTGCCTCTTTTATGACGCGAGCGGGTCCGCCGATCCGCTTTTTCTTGACGAGCTCATGATAAAGGTCCTTTACTTGGGGCCCCCGATTCTTAATTCAGCTTTTGCAGTAGTAACATTTGCAGATGGGCTGCCAACCCCTTTTCCTCAACCCTCCCAGCCCTCAACCCTCAACCTCTCCATGGAACCGGACGCCTTCTTGGGAAACTCCTCCCTTTGGTTTGAGTTTGTTTCCTCCCTTAAGGCCCGTTGGTGGGTTCCATGCGGTGTGTGTTTGTGCGGTACCATATTTGGGTACTTAAGAGCTAGTACGCTTCATGATACTTGTTCAGTTTTTCCAATGTTCCTATTCATATGGGATACGTTTGTTGATCTTGTCTCGCGCAGCCAAAAGAAAGCCACCCATTCTGAAATCGTATCATGCAGTCAAGCTGCTTGACGTGTTGGTGTGTTATTCTTTGTGACATGGTGGTGTTAGATGGTTGAACGGGAAAGGTTCTGAGTGATGTGTTGTCTTGTTTGTTTGGTGAAGACTCGGGCAAATGGACAATTTGCCCCCCCCCTTCTCAATTTGTACTAGTATCAACGGGAACTGGAAATGTTCCTGTCGGAAGTTCCAAAAGCAGGCCTTAGGTCTGGCAACCCGGAGTTCGCATACATGACACTCCCTCAAAGTGTAGGTGTTTAGATAAGGCCTAAAGCCGACCATTTGCTTCGAATGCTTGCTCATGTTCCGCTACCAGCGAGGGAACCCTGGTTAGATGGTGTTTGGTGTGTTTGCAAAATGCGGGATGCAACAGCATGTGTTTGACAAGGTCCCTCAAAGCCGATCGCAAGTCAGATGTGTATAGATATATAATGTATATATGTATATATATACGTGTATGTATGTATATATATATATATGTATGCATACATGTGCACATTTTTTTTGTTTAACGCATGGCCTACACCACGGTCGCAGAACAAAGCATGTTGCTAGCACAACCTGATCCAGAGTTCTGGCACTCAAAGCTGTCGGAGCTCTTTTGGGGCGTTTGCATGTTGCCAACAAATGCGTCGGGTGTCGGATCGCACGGGTGGTTGGATGATGTCTCCACACGGGACCCCCCCTCAACAAAAAAAGAGTTTTTCCCTTCAAAAGTGCCCACGGCAAAATCACAAGCACGCCTACTATATATATATATATATACATATATATATGCATGTATGTCTATCTTGGTGCTCCCACCCATCCCCTTAGCTTTTTGTCTTTTTAGTGACTTTAGTGCTAGTTTCCATGTAACCCACCAAAAGTTAGTTACTTTTTGCAGGGGATCTGAAAACGCCCATATATATATATATATACGCAGATAGATAGATATGTATACATATATATATATATACATATATATATATATATAATACATATATATATATATATACATATATATGCATACTTATATATATATATATATCGGAGTGTCCGTGCCTGCCATCCCATCAGCCTTTTGCACGGTGCAACTCGCGACTCGTTTCGTTTCGCAGGGCGCTGCGGCGCCCATGGCCGCAGTGATCCTCTCCTTCAACGAGAGCGCCCGGGCCCCGCCCAGCCCCCACCCGGGGCTCGTGTTTTCTTGGGTTCCTTACGGATTTTAGGCGGTTTTGACGGGTTTTCTTGGGTTCCTGAGGGATTTTTGTCGGTTTTCACCGGTTTTCTTGGGTTCCTTACAGATTTTAGGCGGGTTTTTGGCGGGTTGTCTTGGGTTCCTTCGGGCTTTTGGCGGTTTTGACCGGTTTTCTGAGGTTCCTTAGGGTTATTAGTCGGTTTTGGCTGGTTTTCCGAGTACTTCCATTTGTGTAAGAATATGCTTGATTTTTCCCTGTTGGTTTCAAAAGGAGTCGATCACTGCTGGATCTTTTTTTCCAGGAAGCTTAAGCAAATGGAAGAAAAGCTTTGTAGTGTTTCGTCTTAGGTCCTAGGTCGTGCCTTAGGTTCTTGTTTTTCTTAGATTCCCAGCCATCCGGTTCCTTAGAGCGTTTTGGCTTCTCGCTGGTTTCAAAAGTTAAGCTTTTAGCAGAACTGACCCAGAGGGTCCCTTGGTACCTTCTAAGGAGGTACTGAACGACCCCTTTTCCCCCTAAAAGCCACCAACTCATGAGGTACCAAAAAAAAAACCTCTGGGTGAGGACACCCCGATCGTTTTTCAGGTACACTTGTTGCATTGGTTCAAAGGGAGATCGAAAGAACCAGAAGTAGCAAGTACATGTGTGTGTGTGTGTGTCGATTTCAGTTGGTATCCTGTCTGGGTGAAACAAAAGGGACACCTTAGGTTCGCCTAGACAAATCCATTGAAACAGCGTGCTTTTGGTTCTCCCTGTTGAAAACGGAACATCTGGGGTGACGGGTCTCCCTGAACCACGGAGAAAGCAACCAGATGGATTATTTTGGTGCTTCCCCAAGACGTGAACGAGTTCATTTTCTATGCACCACTGCGCCACCCCGATCCTCATCAATCGGCGTGTAATTATTCACCTTGAACCTCAAGTGGCAATCAGGGGAGGATCAATTTTTGATTTGAGGAAATCCTGTAACCCATCAATACGCTTGGGAGTCATGACATGGAGCCCGTCTGTTGCACTCGTGTCATGTATCAAAATGGGATTCTCTGCCGAACAAAAGCTTTCCGCTAATGTGTTCTTTGTTCAATCGCAAAGGCTCATGTGCATATTCCTGTCCCCCTGGCCTCCTTTTCGCTTCCTCATGGCTTCGTTGTTTTTGGACACTGAAGGCCTTGGAAGAGATCCATGCCCAAAGGTGATGTGCAGAGCCCCTTCCCAGACGTAAGACACTGAAATTGCTTCCTTCAGACTGCCAGGATCGATCGGCCAAGTTGTGACAGCCCCAAACTCATTGACTTACATCATCCCCAACAACGCAGAATCGTGTTTTTGCCAAGCCCCCAACCAATCCTGAGGTAAACTGGCTGGCCTTTGGGAAAAAACGAGCAGATGACAAAACCACTGCTCAGTCTCTGGGTGCCCTCCCCACAGACGTCCGCTGTTCTGATGGGAGACTAAAGTCAAGCCCTTTGTGTGCAGGGTGCATGTCACATTCATTGGAGGCAAACCAAATGTCTGGGTGAATTATAACGACCTCACACGAC